TGGACGACTGAAATGATTCAACATTTGTAATGAATTAAAAAGAAATGAGGCCAGTAATTGCAGTTAAGATTGACCCAATCTGATAAGTATGATAATGTGACATGTCATTAACAGCAGAGGCATAAGTGACAACCCTTAAGCTTCACTTACACTTTCATTAAATATTGATCTTATCTATGCTCATTGCTGTTCCAGCCTGCAAATTACACCAGATAGATATATTCCCATGACAGTGGAGCTGACGATAATCATCCATCTTCGCATGACATTTGGCAGAACTCTTGTTTTATGAGCTAAAGTGCCATTGTAGTGGATGAGAAAGAATAATAATGTGCAGTGTTCACAATCTCCATTATGTTAGATCAGATCTTATCACACTGAGGGCAGAGAGTGTTATAGTTAATCCACTTCAGCCATGTCTATCAAGGAAAAAAGCCAAATAGTCCGCATCATTTAATTCAAATTTCAACTCATTGAAAGTTTTTTTTCTGCAAAAAAAATACCATGAGATAGAAAGATTTGTGGGATATATCTTATGCACAATTAAAGTTATATCTGTTTTTTGAATATTCTGATCTTTATTCCCCTCCCTTTAAAGAGGCTATAATTGTTATTGTTTTGGTTCACTTTCACAGCACTCACAGCCTTGTTTTTGGCCACACCTCTGTTTTCAATGAAAAAGCTCTAAAAACCCACTGAACACTCCTTGCTCAGCACCAAACAGCAGACACAATTCCAAATGAGTAGCGCTGTCTATGCTTGATGTGTTGTTTGCTAAAATGTTTCCCATAAACAGGTGATATGTCAATGTTGTGTTCTAACTTTGTTTCCGCTGCCCCCAAGTAGCCAAAAAATCATTAATGGCCCCCTCAGACATGTTTTAAAACAAAAATATTCAGCTGTAAATACCTGTGATAATTTGTGTTCAATATGGTTTTTCCACAAATAAATTGTATAGGAGGCTTCAAGTTTCTACATCACACTTCTATAAGTTGCACATTGGATCACTATTGGCTTCCAAACTAATTGTGGTGTCACAAAATGATGCTTGTATGTACACATCTTAAACTCAGATGTAAGCATGAAGAAAGTTTCCTTCAGCAGGGAAATGTGAAAGCAGTCTTCTTTTGTCACATTCTGCACATTATTCTGCACAGCGAAGGTCAAAATATCCAAATGAAGAAACAATAAGGTGGAGGAGGAATTTCAAGGTCAAATGCGTAACTTTTACGAGGATCTATTGGCAGAAAGGGAGTATAATATTCATGTATGGTATGTTTTCATTGGTAAGTAATCCGAAAATAAGAATTGTTGTGGTTCCATAATCTTAGAATGAGCCGTTTTTATCTACAAAAGGAGCGGGCCCTCTTTTACTGCCATGTTGAACCGCCATGTTTCTACAGTAGGCCAGAACAAAAACCAAACACTGGCACAAGATAGGGCCATCCAATTCCTCCTACACGCTTGGAAGGTGAACGGTATTTAGTTAATTCCAATCTGCAACTTCACCACTAGATGCCTCTAAATCCCACACACTGGTGTTTTCAAATTTGAGAATCATCATGTTTTTTGAGCTCCAAAAACTCACATTTAAGGCAGATTTCAGATGTTCCTTTCCCTTTACTTTGCAATGAATGAATGCAAGCTTGAACAAGTCCATTTCAAAGCTATCTGAAGGGCATCCGGTTGGGGGCTTTCTAAACCCACAGATAAAGAACATTCTGTCCCTGCTGTTTAAGGTCTGCTAATGATACAATGATTGCCATTTTAGCTGTGGATCTCCAGTGTTTCCTTGTCATCCAGAGAGCAAGAAATACCTGAGAGACCAATAAGGCCTGGCATTAGCCATTACTATTGTTGTCTTAATGCCTCCTTCAATTATCCACAAGCAGCTCTTTTGAGCTACTACTGTCAGAACCTCCCCCACCGGTTTTTCACCAATTTTGTCCCTGATTATCTGGATCAATGGGCATTAAAGGACCCAGGCAAAGACAAACACAGTAGTTTGAGGGGGTGGAAGAAGGGGGTCTACTTTCAAACAGACCAGAAATCCCTGTAACTACCTGTGTGCCAGGGACAAACGGAGATGGCTATTCAGTCCTCAGTCCCACCGCACACAGTGTTTATTTAGCCACAGCTCAAACTAGACACTTTTAATCTATTTTGCTTCCCCTCACAGAACTTGCAAACCCAAGAAATGATTTCTTTCAATCTCTGTCTGTTTCTTCACACACACATTCACGCACACACACAAACTGACTGAAGTGCTAAAAGTTGTTTTTAATTGGCTGGTTATATCATCCACCATTGTAGTGGTTCTCCCTGATTACACCTTTAAAGCAATGTAGAGCCTGAATTATTTATATTAATAATTCAACATACCATTTCACCTTTTTAATATGTATTTTGAGGTAATTATAGACGAGTTGTAGTGCAAAAGAAAGTTTTTTCACTTCTCACTGGAGAGTTCAAGTGACCCATAATGTTCTTAATGCTATTAAATAGATTTTATTTCACAGTGTCAGTAATAAAATAATGTGCAAATCTTTTTTAACATAAATGAAACAAAATATCGGCTTTCAGTCTCAACATGAGCTTTAAATAAATCCAACATCAGCATCAGTTAAAAAAAGTGTTTAAACAGGTGCAGATGAAAGGGCCACAGGTGAGGGCGTTGCGGTGCTTGGTGCTTGCAGACGAATGACCATCCTGTGACTCACCTCAGTTCTGACCAGCTGCCTCCTGCAGAGGTCCTGGGCTGATCAAAGCCGCCTCAGCCCGCCAGTTCAGCAGCGGTGACAACACTGACAGCTGAATGTTTTCACCGCAGACTGAGCTGATGAGATGTGTTGTTAGGTGATATGTATCTTCGGATTAATTGACACACCTGTGTTTAATTCACATAGACAGTGCTGGTGATCATCTCATCAGAGATCCATCAACACTAAGCTACAGCTGCCTTGCTCAAAGAAAAAAAGTGTTAATAATCTTCCTGTCTCGGCTGTTAATGTGTTGATGTGTATGCTTTGATCTGAGATGGAAAAATCCAAAAAGTATTCGGCAACACTGACTACTGTCGACATACTTTACAACGATGGTAAGTAGTGTATCATCACTAATTATTGCAGTATATCGGTTATTAAACACAGGATATAACATGAATAACAAGCAAGAACATCTAGGAGTGAAGGTTAAAGGAGACTCAAGCATGTTACCAAATATCAAAAAGTGGTATTCCAGGTAAGTTTGGCACAAATCATAAGTTCAACTAGAAATGTACTCAGAGAGCCCAGACCTCTGCTACACTGTTTTCTTTCTACAGTAATGTTTGAGGCAGCTTTTATGTTAGGTCACGGCACACCATTCACTTTAAATACGACAAGTTTGCGTAATGCGCAATGAATTTAGTTCATAGACACCAGTGTTACAATTAACCTCTCTCACAATGTTAACTAAAATGAAAAAGTACAGAGGGGTGACAAATTAAAGGAAAAACATGCTGGAAATCCAAATGCTTTCATACAGGACATAAGTGGGCCTTGAACCCTATACGAGGTTTGTGTTGGTTTTTCTTTTAAATTGTTACCCATCTGTAGTCTGCGTATCCGTCCTGTGATTCGAAACTGCTCCAAAATTTAATCGGGCCCATACTACACCCTTCCACAAAGTTTAATGAAAATTGGGCTAGTCGTTTTTTCTGTAATCCTGTTGACAAAAATCAATCAAACGGTACGGAAAACTGAGGTAATATGTTTGAATTGACTGTTTAACTTTTACCCCAGGCCTGTGCTAAAGTACACACATACGTACACGTACATCTATTAGCATTACATTTAAGTCAAAAAATACTTTAACCTATTTCTCAAGTTGCAATTCTGTTCTAATCCAAACAATATGGTAGCCAGTGGCTACTTTAGAGAGTTTTTTAAAATACAGATGGTCCAGGACAGTATTAGAGGAGGCTGAACATCCTTTGTTTTAATCTTTGCAATATCTTTTAGAGAAACTGATGCTTGACTTGAATGTAACGCTAATGCTAATACATGAGAGGTACAAACTGGGGCTTCCTTGCATTATTCTATTTTACAAGTTTATTTGACAGCTACAGTTGAAAGTATTTGCATTTTTAATGGGATGCTTTTTCACATTTTTTGCAAAAAGGAAAAAAAAGGCATCAATCAGTATAAATGTTTGAGGAGGTCTTATGAGGATTAAAATCACATTTGTACTATTGTAGTACAATAATTTAGTTGTTTGTTAGTGTCAGGTTTTTACTGCACCTGGTTTACCTTGTTTAATATTTCATTAGTGGATTTCTACTGTAATTGTAAAGAAGGGATTTGCATACACTGCTACTACCCATTAAGTTGACTGCTATAAAGATTAACAGACATGATCATTTCTGCACAGCTTGTCTTGGTGATGTGGAAAAAAAAACGTCAACTTAAGAAAAAAAACAATAAAATTAAATCCACAATAGCGTAAACACTAGGTTGCTAGGAGGGATTAAAAACATTGAGCAAATGAGCTTTCAGGTTTGTCACTTTGTTGTCAGGAAGTGTGTGTTTATCCTGGAACCTGCTGTTCAGGGTCTGCTGCCCTTGTGCTTGTTTTCATCCCTCAGGACTGAACAACTTGTGTTTTCATTATGTCTCCATTGCAGTAATTTGTTCTTATTATATTGACAGCTGTTTAACCAGTCAGATAAGAGTTGTGCAAATTGTTTAGGTGGATTAGTTTAAATGGATATACGTACACGTATTCACATATGAGTTTTTACAGACTGAGCTGCTGTCCATCTCACTGATTGAAATTTCAGAAGCCAAAGATGTTGCAACTTGTCCCAGGTAGGCAGAGAGAGAGAGAGAGAGAGAGAGAGAGAGAGAAACATACCCTTTCACTAAAATGTAAGAAACAGATTGTAGGACATACAGTATGTGATTGGGAAAGAAATGACGAATACAGCACACACTGGAGTAATACTGATAATCCACTGAGAGATGAATCACAGGTTGGATTTTCACCTCTGTGCTATAAACCAAGCCCTGCTGTCTGTTTGGAGGTCATGTGACCGGGAAAGGAGGTGGGGAGGATTGGAGGAGAAGAGCAGAAAGCTAAGGTGAGACCACCTCTACTACTCAAGTCCTACCTTTATTCTTCAGGCAACACCTGAAGCTGTGCGCCTCAGCCACATACAGCAGCTCTAACAACCAACTGGATACATCTGGTGGACAATCATCATTTATTTTCTATTCTTTTTTTACTCAGGACATTGGGATGCATTTTACCACTCCACAAGCATCCCTATAGGAGTCAATCTGGCCCTTTTCAGTGGACTGACACTAAATATTGGGCTCTTAATAGCTTGGATATGTTTGGCCCAAGGCAGCTGGTATCTACTCTCCTGCCTGCAGTTTTCCATTCACCTGCAGCTCACTTTTTCCCTGCATTCCCAACCAGACTGGGCTCTCAACCTCAGATCCTGATCCCGGGGCCCTTTATCAGCTATGAATCCTTGAGGAATTATCTGCAGCCAGAGCCATGCAAGGAAGCTTTGCTTCTGGCCACACAGGCGGTTGGGATGGGGCCACTCACAGATGGCATAGGTGAGTTCAAACCACGGCTGCTGTGGCCAAAAAGGGACTGATTGTATGATACAGGACTTGTGCCGATGCACAGCCAAACTGGCACTGTATGACCACAGTTTCTAAGACAGTCAGTGAGTACCATCTGATTGCAGTGTAAATGTTTACAAAAGATTAGCTAACAGCTCGTAACTAACAATCAATTATCAAGCAGTGTTAAAGTGGGCCTAATGATTTCTGCGCTAATTATCCAATCTAGAGCCATTAGTTCGTTGTCACCCGTTGGCGATTGTGTAATTGGTGCTTGCGCTGTGCTTTCCAGATGAACAGAGGCCAGTGAAGCAACGTCGTGCACGAGCCAACTACAGCAGCTGGCAGCTGGAGGAGCTGGAGAAGGCCTTCGAGACCACCCACTACCCAGACATCTTCATGAGGGAAGCCCTGGCCGTCAGACTGGACCTCATCGAAGCCAGAGTACAGGTAATTGGCACACTGAACTCCTCCTGGAAATGTTCATTTCATACTCCTTCAAATACCATTAATTTTTCTGTACAGTGTGCAAATTAATCTATTTAGCCCTACAGACTCTTTTGCAGGTCCATCAATACCAGCTTGTGTTGACAGACGTTATTTAATTATTTCACAGACCTACTTCTCCATTCAGTTCTATTCAAGATGTCAAAGTACCAATATTAATGTAATATGGCTTGGTTAGTTTCACATTTTTGGAGTCTGTCTGAAAACAACACTCACAGACCTGCACATTGAAACAGTCATTGGTTTCTGTACTTTTTCCTCCTGTTTGTACTGACCATGAAGAGATTCTTGATACTGTAAGAGATGGGGGTCAAAAACTATAGTACTTGTTCCATATGAGGCCTGAGCAGTCAGGGTCAGTCAAATAAAGTTTGATGTCATAAAGTTTGATGCCAGTTTATGGTATGGTTACAGTGGAATCCCATTAAAAAAGGATGTCTTTACGGCTATGGACGGGGGAATGACTACAGCAACTAATTTCAATGTGTACATACAGGCATGCAAGTTGACATGAACAAATGTATCCTTTAATAAAGTGCTGAAAAAAACAAGATTCAGAAGTTACTTTTTTAAATATGAAAAATTAAAAAATAAATTAAAAACTTTTTTCTAATTTTGAAAGAATTTCAGCAAAATATCTTATATTATATATTCTATTTATATTTAGTATTTCTTCATTTGTTTCCAGGTTTGGTTTCAAAACCGCCGTGCAAAGATGAGACGACAGCTGAAACTCCAGGGCCAACTTGCAGGGCCTTATGTAAACAAAGACAATGATGAAAAGTCTGAGAAAGAGAGCTTAAAACAGCACACAGAAAGTTCTGATGGTGAGCACTGTGAGAGACGACAGGAAGGAGATAAAAACTATCCATGGACAAATGCTGCGACTGCTGCGCTGAGCATACGTATGCAGCCTGTGACCCAGAGGTCCGGGAAATGGGAGAGGCCGGAGGGGCCAAGTTCAGAGGAGCTCCGCTCCTGCAGCATCGCCAAGCTGAGGGCCAAAGCCAGAGAGCATGAGGCTGAGATCCACAGCACGGTAAACATGTCAGGAGGCGACAAACAGTCACAAACACAGGAAGCTGATGCCGTGCACAATGATTGATCATTTTCCTTCTTCCTGTTTGTACAGATAATCATAACCAAAAAAAAAAAACTGTGTGCTTTTTGAACCTTTTTGGGATGTGGAGCTTTGTTTTTTAGCCATCATTAATTAAATATTTCTTGCTTTTTTACAGTATAAAATGTTCAAAATTTTCAAAGAAATTATAAACAAATGGTCACCTGGTTTCTTTTTTAAATTTCATTTTCAGGGTATATTACAACTAACATCATTTTCTGGATGTTCTTGTTTAAACAGAGTTTCTTTGGAAGTTTGGGTGGTTCCATGAATCACTTTTTAGTCTATTTTTATAAATATGTAGAACTGTAAAAAGTTTCCATACCCACATTATTTTCAGTTAATGTCTGGACATTTCTTAACATCACATGCATGTGCTGTTTATGTCTCTTTCTGAACGAGATTGTTATCACATCTTTGAAGGGTTTAGGTTGTCAACACTAAATAATGGCACAGACTATATGCCCGTTCAGATAACAGTGACAAATGACAAATGCTGCCACCTTATCGTATCAGTGTATCAGGGTGCAGCTGAAATGCGATACAGTAAGATCATTTCTACATGATTTTACTAATGACAAGCTCATCCCTGACCTCTCCGGTTACTTTCTCAGACAGGCAGGATGTCTGCATGCAGCCACACGTCCTCACAGGAAACAATGGAAATAGCTGAAAAATGAAATCATCAAAACTGAGTCTATATACATGATGCATGTCTAGTATTTGCATCAAAGACATAGGATACTGTTTTTTTTTTAATTTTCTTTGATAGTGACACAGATTACACAAAGGCCTGTGAAAATCGAAAGAGAAGAACATTTGAGGGCTCGTTTTAAGGGAGGTAAATGACCAACAAATATAAAATGATAACATCAGCTGTGGTAAATAAATTATGAAGTCACAAACTATGACATAATGTATAACTTTAGTTTTTTTTTATGTTTGGTCCGACAAACACTGTTGTTTTTCTAAATTCATGTTATGAAAGCCATCTCAACTGTCTTCAAACTGCAGACAAAATTAATCTGAGCCATATAAGAGTGAATTATTAGTGGACTTCACCTTGTTAAACATATTTTAAAAAAAACACCCAGCAGTGAGTCTGGAAGCATTTTTATAATCCTGTGTGTTTACAACAACTGCACACAGTATTTTATATCATACAGTGATAATAAACAGGATAAGATTATATTGGTTTGAAACGTCAGAGTTTCAAGTTAATGTTTTAAACCGTTTTGTATGTTTAATCTTCTGATAATATAAAACCATAACAATTGATACTATAATATAGTATTAGATAATACAAGTATTGGATGGTTTAACTGCCTTTTTTCATAACTTTGACTGTTTGTTCTGAATGCACACATTGTATAATTTGTGTGCTGGCATAATCCAATAAGGTTTGTTACATACTTCTTCATAGAAATTATACTAGCACTGTTTATTTACATGCTTTATTTATGTATTTGACAACAAGTTTGGCGTGGTGAGATTGTCCTCTATGAGTGCAGTGTGAGGCTGCCCCCTTCTGGACATGAAGATGTCCTCAGACAGGACAGATGAGATAGTTCAGACAAGGCAACATGCAGTATTTGTGTTTACAATCCAACTAATGCATAGCCTACGTTTCCTTTTTACTGCTGTCACACATCTCTTATTAGTTGTGTGGACCACAGTGAAACTTTTAAAGCTGTGTTAATGTGTTTAATTTTGTTGGAGACCCTGTTGTTGTGACAAATAAACAATTTATGTCTTACAGTGAAAGATGTCAGTGTGGTTTGCTCGCAAAGACTCAAGTTCAACTCTGGTCACACACTAATTACATTTGCCATGTCAGAGCTTTGAAAACTCACTGATGAGGTCTCTGGCTCAAATGTGAAACTTCAGAAAAGCACATTGGAAGAGTTTAGTTGTTTTGTTTTATGTTTAGGTGGAATGACTCTTCAAGCTTTCTCACAAATCTCTCTACAAACTTTACAAGTATAATTCTTCATATTCAGTTTACTACGTGAAAGTTGCTGAGAAATCAAGTTCTGAGTTTTCCCTAAAATTTTGTGGGACACCATAATATGGGCTAATTAGGTCAGAATTCTTATATGACAATAGTTGGCCTCAATTAGTCCCCAATTAGGCCCCACACAAAGATGACTGAGGTAAAAAAAAAAGAAGCACAACACAGACTCTGTTCTTGGTTCTCATACTGCACACTGACCCCGCTGCTGGCTCAGATAGCAAGTCTGCTGTTTAATTAACATACTTCAGAAATCCTAGAGCATACAACTCAACAAATATTAATTTCATGAGGCATTACATGAAAATATTGTAAATGTTCAAATAGGCCTGACCTTTATGGAAAAAGAAAAAATGCACAGCAGCATTACAATACAGCCCCACCATAAAATAAAAACATTTGCTCCTTTCCAGTTTGAATTTAACAGTATGGACACTGCATGTTGTATTTAATTTCCCCCAAATCAAGATGGCTACTCCAGAAGCACAAATATAACATTTTATCTTCAGGTAACATTTAACATTTTATAGTGATTTTGGAATGACAACCCCAGCCTCTGTCAAGAATTAGTGGTATAGGATAAAGCATACAGGGTGGACTATGTGTAATTTTACCTTCTTTTTTTGGCTACTTCAAAAATGTATGATTGACATTCTGATTGGGGATCAGAATTCAGCTCTAATTCAGTTTCCATAATTCACTTTTGGGATTGAGAACTAAACTCCAAACACAAGAAAAACTATTATTTACCCTCCTGGCAGGGTTTTATTCAACTGCTGTGAATGACGAATCAGCAGTCGGTGTCAATTAGTGTAATGAGCGCAGAAACACACACCACTGGCTCGTCCCGGAGACTCGGCGCTCATTCAGGTAAGGAAACAGGACGCAGCTGCTGCTCCGCAGTTCACGGCCAAATCCTGAACGGAGACATTTGTTTTTATCTCTCTTTCCTCCGGCTCCACCACACTGAAAACCTCTGCCTGTTGCACACTTACTCTGTACTGAGTGTACGGTTTCTGTGTCGCGCTGGCAGCATGGCTGCTATCAAGGCTTTGGAGCAGTGGTGTAAAATGCATTGTGAGGGCTACCGAGATGTGGCCATCACCAACATGACGACTTCTTTCAGAAACGGATTGGCTTTTTGTGCGCTTATACACAAGTACAGACCGGACCTGATGTAAGTATTTAACTTTTATTTATTTTTTTGCCGGGGTTTGGTGGAATACTTAAAGTCTTAGCTTTGACAACAGTGATGTGTCCTGGGGCAGCCTGTCCAAAATGCAATATCTGTTTTGTTTTCTACAAGGCATACCCATGTACCCTTGTTTTTTGGTACTCAGTATTGACCTAATTGTTTTTCTCCTAAAATCAATAATGTTTTTTTTCAGTGGTCCTTTTTTAGTTATATGTGTTAGTTCTGCTGTTACACGTTTTATTTTTAAGGAAACTCACCATGTATAAGAAATATGCTGCTTCCATCAATATAACTTTTTTTCAGTTGAACTCCTCAGAGTCAAGATCTTAAGTCTTATGAGGTTCTAACTTCCCTCTCTCTGTTCATTGTATTCCTGTTTTTCCCAGAGACTATGACTCACTCAGAAAGGAGGATGTGTTTGAGAACAACAGACTGGTAAGATGTCAAGTTGTTGAACCTTTGTCACATTGAGTGGAACTGACTTCATACTGGAACAACAAAATATGATGTAGCATAAAACATCCGCTTCATTAACCCCGGACACGTGAAGACATATCCAGCAAATGTACTATATTTCTTCTTGCCTTGGCATTTATGCAGCAGATTGGTTAAATATTTAGCTGTTTTAACATTTTAACAGCACAACAGTTTAAGCAAAAGCTACACACTACCAATTTTAGACTTCTCTCAAAAGAGTCTTTTCTCTGCCTCTGTCCACTTGACCTCATTTATTTTGTTAACCCGTACGTGACCTGAGCAGCACAGCCGAGACCTCTACATTATTTAGTCTCCTTCCATTTTACCGGCTTCCTCTGAGGATTACAGGCCCTGCAGAGTGCTACAGTATGCACTCTGTACAACTTCCTTTGCTGTCTTGGATGATCCTGGCAGTGTCAGCAACAAACCTGAGCTCAAGGGAGAGGCTCTCCGGGGTTATTCATTTTGAATGAGGCTGGCTGTCATCTGCCACTCGATCCTCATGATGACGGTTCACTTGAAGCCCCTTTTGCTGTGTACTTCTTGAATGTGACACAAGAACAACTTTGAACCATATATGTCGCCAGAGAATAGTGTGTTTTGATCAGCTGTTGAAGATGCTCCCTGTAACGAAACATGAGAATGTGACTAGTGTGGTAATTCACACCCTTCTATATTTCATGAATAGTGTCATGTTTCTTACAGGTGGTTATTTCACCAGTTGTTAAATAAGAAATTGTCTCTGTGTTTGTAGCTTTAGTTTTCAGCTTTCAGTGTTTTTCTTTTACTTTGACAGAGTTGGTATTCAGTAAGACTTTGCTTTCAATTTAATGAGCATATCCAGGCTGATCCTAAACAATGACCCGATATCCTTCTCCCTCCATCCTTTTTCTTATCCTTACGAGCTCACAGGAAGTGCACTATTCATTATACAGTCCTTTTCAGACCTCTCTGGGCCGAGCAGCAGTCTGTGGCTCTATTTAAAGGAGATTGTATTGTCTGACATTTTTACACATGCTGTAATTGTAGCTGACATTACTACGCCCAGTGAATACCCTGTTTTTATACGGCAAAAATGCTTTGAATTTGTGTCCTTGGTCCTTCATACACTACCATTAAATGTTGTCTTGGCAGAAGTTGATGGCTGTTGGTTAAACTGCGTATTTGTTTTTTTCCTGTCAAGGCTTTTCAGGTTGCAGAGGAGAAGTTGGGGATCCCAGCTTTGTTAGATGCAGAAGACATGGTGGCCTTAAGGATTCCAGACAGGCTAAGCATTCTTACCTACGTCTCCCAGTACTACAA